TTAATTATTATTATTATTATTATTGGGTTTAACCTCAATTCCCAATAAATTACACATCAGAGGGTACAGGTCCACGGTGTTGAAGGATGACACTTCAATCCCCTTCCGGAAGGCAGGACCACGGGCAAAGAACACAGAGTAACTTTTGGACCTCGTTGAAGGCCAGCCATGATCTCCCACTGTCCAATTCCCTTGACGTGCCTTTGAACGCTCAGTCTTTATGACCCATCCAACGTCGGGGTCGACGAAAATCGGCGGGATCCTGAAGTTGTGCTTCCAGTGGTATTCTTCTGGGATGTCTTCCCTTTTGTATACCCTCATGTGAGCATTATTAGCACTTATAAGATTTCTGTAAATGTCGTCAACTTGTTTACCTTCAGCCCAGATGTGGCCAACGGCTCCTCCTTCAACGAGCTGAAAGTCGTCGAGGTTGATGTAGTCCTCGAGGAAAATCTGCCTTTTAGACGACGTATCAGTCATACTGTGGTCACTTACGAACATGATGTTGACTTTGTCGTACATGTTTGCATTCTTGAGACTGTTGATCAGGTATCCTACTGTATCACGGTCTACTCTCTCCATAGCGGCTCTATATTGGTCACTCTCTATACTGAATCAATGTCCAGTACTGTCTGGATCTTCTGAATACAAGAGAACTAGCCTGGGTGACAGGTCGGTCCTTAGCCACCTCATGATCTTATCAATTCTGTTTGCAACAGGCTCACTGTGGTTTACCATGCAATGAATGTAAGGTGGCCAGCCACTTCTGCTGTTTCTCATGTTTGGCAAGTCTTTTGGGTTGATCTCACTGCAATTGACGGGGCAGATTTCGGGCTTCTAGTAGAATGTCGGCTTTTCTGGGTAACTTCCGAATCCTGGCCAGAAATAAACCCCACTTCGACCGCCATTTTTCTGCAGAGTCAACCAAATTGGCTCAGACGCATTGTAAAATTTTGGTTCGTAATTACTACAATCATAATCTAAGACAAACTTTTCTTGATAAACTGGATCAAAAAATTTATTTGATACAATACCATGGCTTTCAGGATATAACCCAGTGAGGAAGCTGTGATGGTTTGGCCATGTCTTGCGCGGTACAACAGTTTTGATGAACTTTGATGTGACCCCTTCTCGAGCGATTGAATCAAGATTAGGTGTGTTTGCGAATCCTTCGTTAATGTATTACCATCTCAAGCCGTCCATTGACACAACGATTAATGTTTCGGAATCTTTTCCCTTGCTTTGTGCAAGACTGGTTTGTAAAATTAGGAGAGCAAGATAAGAGATAAGTCCTCCTTCAATAACAACCTTTTGCCGAGTCATATCGCACTGATGCGGTTATTTCCGTGACTGTTCTGCGAACATGTGAACATCACTTGATCAATATTAAAAAATAAATGCTTGTCAAACACAGCATGCCTAAGGGGCTGGCTTTTCTAGTATGTCCTTTGAATAATTGACTGAATGCATAACTACATTGTCCATCAAACAGAGAGAAAGAAAGTAACAAGACAAAACAACGGTACGAATCGGACAGGATGATATTTTGACAAAAGATCCTTCGGGATTTTCTGATTGCTGTGTGCAAGACTGGCATGTAAAATGAAGGGGATAAAGGAAAAATAGGTCCTTCTTCAATAAAAGTCTTTTACTGTGCCATTTTACACTGATACGATTGAATATTCAGGAGGAGGCTCAATTAAACTTGATTGATGTATTCTCAAAATATTTGCATTTCTGTCAAGTAGCTTCATGTCCTTAGAAGGCTGTCTTTGTGTGTTTATTGTACTCGTAACCTTAGTGATCGTGATTATGTAATTGTTATGTGACTTCTTAGTATTTTGCATAAAGGGCCTATTGTAGGATTCCAGTTTTACCTCTATTGCGCAATAACTGAGCCCACGTTTCCAGAAGCAGACAGAAAATCAACATGGCGGCGGCGTTGACGACGAAGCGAAAGAGATATAGTAAGAAATCAAAACAAAGCTGGAGAAAGAACACTAATATTAGGGATGTTGAGGAACATCTTGAAGAGGCAAGACGCGAGGAAAGAACCGGGTGAGTTGAGGCGTAATCGGCCGATTGTAACCGTACTTTGATGTGATCTAGTGGCGAAACTGACGCTAAACAGCTGATCGAGCTCTCCACGTGGAATTTTGGTTATCGTAATTTTAACTCAGATTTCGTTGAAATTTGCATTTAATCATTACAATCGATGTAGTTGATAATGATAGGTTACTGAAATGATGGTTTAGTTTCAGATTATTCGTATGAAAAGGTTCATATACTGACCTGAAAAAAATTACGACATAAATAAGTAGGGCAGAGTAAAGGTTGAAGTAGATGAAGAAGTTAAGACACAAAATGTATGGAAAAATAACATGCAAAGATTTAACACTAGCTTTCAAATTCTAATCAGTTACCATGCTAATTTTAACAACAAAGTGCACGTTAATTATGAAGGCATTGGTGGCCCTGTCGGCAGACCTTCGTGGAGAAAGATGTATTGTTTATGATCTGAGCATTTGTATATTGTAGCAGCTGAGAACTGAATAGTTTGTGTAGATGAAGGATCAATTAGAATCTGAGTTGTAGTGGAGCAGAGATTTTAACAGGGTTTACAATCCGTAATTTAGTTTGTAAATAGATTAAATATCACTTTGCTTGGAAAATTACTTCAATTCACTAAGGGCAACAAGTAGAAATTAGAATTTATGCTGTATTATTTACTCATTATTCCAGTTTCAAGTTGTTACAGGCTGTGTCATTTTCAATATTCCTTCATTATACAGTGGTCCAGTTTCTGAAAAACCAGATGAAAGCTTGTACTTTCTAGACCACAGAACTGAAGAGAGAAAAGTTACTGAAGGTAAAATGAATGCAATTCAAGTATATAAAGCAGATGAATCTTAATCTCATCATGGTCTCTGGTATACTCAGATGAATATTACTTATTAAGAACCAGCTGTCTCATTATGGCAATTGTATAAATGATTTGTACTGTCTTTGTGAATGATTTTTGGATAAAGAATGATATGCTGAAGCATTAAGGAATGCTGACAGGATTTTCAGGTCCACACATCAAGTAAGGGAGTGGAACAGGAGGGGAAAGGCATTTGCCATCATTAAGGAGTGACCATTTAGACCCAGTAACAAAATAAAAATAACATGTTTTTCTTCCTTGATTTTACTGATACTTAATCTGTAAGAAGCCCGCCGAAGGAGTAGATACAGTTACAAAATTTATTCACCAAGTAAGACTGGGGTAATGAATTGTTGTCATGAATGAGCTGTTTTAGTAAACTATTTATAATCATCAGTAAGAACTCTTCTTTGTAAGTTGCATATTGGTATACAAAGCCTCCTGCAGTGGAATTGAAGCAAGTAGAATTTAATTCATCCTCATGCAGATTTTTGTTTATCTGGATATGCTACTCTGACATACAGGTAAACCTAAAGAAAATTCAAGAAAACGAAAACTCCTGAAGGCTGATCAGCTATTACCAGAAAGCAAAATTAAACCAATTGGAAGCAAGAAAAGAAAAGTTCACCTAAAAAGCAAGCAAAGGGAAGATTTCAGCAACTCATCATCTGATTCTGAGATTGAAGAGGAGAGAGGCAAACTTGTTAAAGCTCAGATAAATAAAAAAAAGCTCAAAACAGCTGCAGTGTTTGATTTATGGGAAGCACAAGGTAATGACTGTGCAGTTATTACTAAGTATACTATGGGTTCTGTTGTATTCATGAACATGTAGCAACTTAAAATGGAATACAGGTTAAAGGGATACCAAACCAAGTTGATTTTTATTTTTCTCTGCTGATTAAGAATTTTAAGAATTTAAGACTTGAAAATGTGAACTAAACTTGTCTAGTATAACATTAGTTTGACTTAAATTCACTTTAATTTATGTTTTTTGAAAAATTGGGATAGAGGTATTGGAAGGGTTGTGCTAGAAAGTATATCTAATGTTCATACATATTATTGAGTCAGTTTTACAGATGCTGAAATGTTGCAAAAACTATTATATGACTGTGATATGATATTGCACACATTATATCCTTAGTTAGAACACCTGCCATGGTGAGATAAATTTTCCTGCCTCTTACATGTCCTGGTATGTGTTTGGTTTTGAAGATTCTGTCACTGAAGTTCATACTATAATTCATTATTCTATTTTTGATTCATTTTTGTAGATATTCCAACAGGCGATGAACATTTTCTCTCAACTACTAAGAGAATCAATGTTAAGGTAATGGCATTTCTTTTCAATGTAAAATGAAGATTATTTTCTTCTTGTTCCTGTTTGTTTTAGTCACTTTCTTGCTCACTCAAACAAATCTTTCATATTTTTCAGAAACCAAAGACAATCAGCAGGAAGACTTCTCAGTTAGTAGCTGTTGAAGTTTGTTCACCTGGTGCATCATACAATCCAACATATGAAGATCATCAGGTAAAAAGCAGGCCTCTTATAAACACAAGTTTACAGAGATGCATTGTGCTATGTGGGCCATTGGAATGATACCAACAGTACAGAAAAATGTTAAGGAAACAGTAATTTCAGGATATTGTCCGATTCCAGAGAAAATTAGTAATAATTATAATGTAAAATTGGCTTTCTTATACCCCATTCACACCAGCAAAACATGTTTTGTTAAACTGGTTTTCATTTAATGAAAATTATAAACAGAGAACTGAAAAACTTGAGGTACATTTATCATAATTTTAATGGATAATTATTATGCAGTTTCATGAAAAAAAAAAAATAAATGTTTCAACTTTTAAACATGTTTAAGCTTTGGTGTGAATGGGGCATTAGGCAGGTACATTTTCAGTCTCTGTGTTTAACTTTGAGGGGAATGAGAGATGTTCACCAGAACTTTGAGATGAAATTATTTGAGAAGAGTGATATTGACACCATAAACATTAAGTCACTTGACAGTTTGCTGACTAATGACAGATTAAGGGAAATTCATATCTGCTGTCTTGTTGATTGTTGATTTTTTGTTGGACCTCCAGCAAAATATAAGTCTTGCATTTATTATAAGCCACTCCAAAAGATCAAACAAAGGTATGTTAGTCTCATCATGAACACCCTAAATTAGACAATGATCTGGTTTTTATTCCCTCAAGTGAGACATTGTGCACTCTACCCTCCTTGGTTGCATATGGGTTTAAACCCCTCCCTTGGATAACACAGCAACTAGTGTGTTTTATCTCGGCCTTCTCAATTGTATGAATTTATTTTCAGTCTTTGCTTCAAATGGCTCATAATGTGGAGTTAAGAAAAGTGAAAGAAACAGAAAAACTGAAAAGACAAGTGAAGCTCTTGACTGCAGAGGAGGCAGCTAATTTGGTAATCATTAACAGTCAAATGTGTTCATGTTTGTTTGTGAACCCAGACAAAGCTGATACAAAGGCAGCTGTTGAATACAAAAAAACTGTTCTAGTATGGTTATATAAGTATAATAGTTCTGTCTTGGGTTGTTATACAAATCCTTCTTTCTGATTTGTGGCCATGAACTTAACCTTCTTCTACAAGTTAGTATGTGCATGTAGATGATGCTGAATTAATTCATTGAACTACTCCAAATTTGTGATGTTCAGCCAACATGGAATGAAGAGATGAGTCAAGGATTATTTGCTGAAAATGATGCAGAGGATGATGAGAATGAAAATGATCATGAAAGTGCCCTTGCGGCTCCTGTGAGAGCTTTCAACAGAAAAACAAAACAGCAAAGGACGAAAGAAAAACAGAAACAGGAGGAAGTAAGTTAGCTGGTTGAATTCCCTGTTGGTCTTTTGTTGAATTTAACTTTAACCCCAAGTGTTGTCGAAATGGTCCAAAAATGGAATATGGTCATAACTCAGATATCTATCACTCTAAATATTACAGGGGAAAATATAAGGCACAAGTGGGATTGTGGTATCTAATCCATTGTGCTCATGAGAGCTTTATACGCTTCTTTTAGGTAAAGAGACTCGAGACAGAAAGAAAAGAAAAGAGGCAACAAAACGAGATTTTTAGGTTGGTAGAAGCTGATTTGTGTATGTGAATGTACATTGTATTAACAATTATGGAATTGTGATTTATTTTCAGCAAATCTTAGTTACACAGTTCATGTAAAATAAATCTCATAAAATTCTTTTGATGAAAACAAACATGTACTAATGACTGATGGACATCATCCAGGAATATTGTGAGTCCTTCTGATTGATATTTAAACCCTGTGTATTATTTAGCAGTCACACAAATTATGTACATCTAGGACTTCTTTTCATTCTTGATTGCTGAGCCCTTTAATACATTTTTTTGTAACAGATTAAAAGCTCTGAAGAAAGAAATGAAAATAGCTGATGAGGAAGCTGAAAAAAGGAGAAGGAAGAAAAAAGAAACAGAGAGAAGTTCTTCAATTAAACCTAAAAGACTTAGCAAGCACAAGTATCCTACGTGTACCTCTATTCGTAGCTTTAAACAAGAATTAATATTAACATCAAATTTTATCACTTGCACTGAGTACCACTGTCTGTGGGATGCTATGGGGTTGTGTTGTGTTGTGTTCCTTGCCACCAGGGAAAAATTATCACTGATACAAAATACTCAAGTGAAATACTAAATGTTTAATAAAGTGGAGTTCATTTTAATCAGTAAAACAAATAAATCTTATATGATTACTTAACTGCAACTTCAGATATGAATCACCAGATTGTGAGGTTCAGCTGAGTACAGAGCTGACTGGAAGTCTCCGCACCTTAAAGGTACGCTCACCTTACTGTGGTCACTTAATGTGATTAAAATACCCAGTAACTTTTTTCTTTTTCTTTTTTGAATAATTGACTTCAAAAGGGAACTTACTTTAATTTGTGAGTTAGTGAGTGGTAGGCACTTGATTCACTCCTTAAAAATGTATTTAATTTGTCAAATGCTTGTTTTTTATGTAAACGTTTTTGTCCAAACTGTTGTCTCTCTTTTCACAGCAAGAAGGAAACTTATTTGAAGACAGATTTAAGAGCCTCCAGCGAAGAAATATCATTGAAACAAGACTTCCTGTCAAGTAAGTTGTCAACTTTCTCTACTGTTTTACTTCGGAGAATTTCTTATCAAGTTTTAAATCAAGGACTTCATCAAGTGGGTCATTAGCAGTTTTAAAGACAGTTGTTGTGTGATTTCTTATTTCAGTTACCTGCTAAATGTAATTTTTACAGTTAATTTGGTTCAGGAATTGTCTCTTATATTGTTACTGTTGCTCTTTTTCTCCACCAGACCCTACAGAAAATACAAGCAAAAAACATATACAAGAAAATCACGTGATAGGCCTTGTATAAAGGAAATATAGATGGATCCAAAAGGTAAGTTTTTTATATGTTTGTGTTTAATTGACAAAAAACCTTGCAGGAAGAACAACAAAATTTTCAGTTAGTTTGTTAAGCATTTTAAAGTGGTTCCCTGAGTGGAAATACCCCAATAGATGTTAATGATGTACTTATCAGAGACTTTGACAGATCTACACTGTATAACAGGTCTACTCTGTTATGCAGAGGAACAGAGTGACATAACAGATCTACTCTGTTATGTCTGTTACAGACATAACAGATCTAATTTGCCCTTGATACAGAAGGAAGACTGATGCCAGAAACGATTTTTAAACACAAACTGAAACTTTTTGTACTGAACTATTGTAACCTCTACTTTAGCTTGTAGTCTTTTTTTTGGTAATTTATTTTTAAAATTTTTATGAAGATCCTCCTGAAAACCACCATCGGGTGATTGGAGGCCTCCTCGTAAAACATTTTTGTAATTATTATTATTATTATTATTATTATTATATTATTGAACAAACAAATTCCTACGCAATCGCCCTATTAAATTTATTTTAAATATTTCTAAATCATTTGAAAAAAATTATCAGTTTTTTATTCTTCAGTGTTTATAGCTTTATATTCTATATAAAGTTCTATCATTCATTCTGTTACTGTTATCTAATAATTAATCTAGTCGAATGTCTAATGGAATCTTGTTTCGCGGTAGTCGTAAACTGCTCAATAAAAGTCCATAGAGGTTATTACTGATAGCCACTTTCATTCACAAACTTGCTTGAATTGTTTCGTACATGTAATAGTTTATAGAGGATGGCAGACCCTGCTCAGTTTCCTTAAAATATTCGCACGTGACACGAATATATATACGATTCGAGTCACTAACCTTTTCAGTCATAGAACCGTGAAAACTGGTATACTCTCTGTGGAATTTTTTCTGCCATTTGTATTTGTTTGAGGATTTTTTTTCGTTTTGTTTCAGAAATTATGAACAGGTGAATTACACAAGAATTCGGATGAAGCTGTTTTTTTTTTCACACATAAAGCCATTTTTTCCTAATTTGTCAGAACAAATTTCAATGTTATTTCACCTTCGATTTTATCAACCAAATGCGTTAACATGTAGTTCTAATGATTGGAAAGAAAAAGAGGAAATAAAACATTGGACCAATAAAACGGTACATTCATTTAGCTTTGTAAAAAAACAGTTTATTAGTGTATTCGTAACGACTCCTTTCGCTTTGATATTTTTCTTTGCCTTGGACAAGACAGTAATAAAATTCTTATTTTATTGATTTCGCTCATTTGTTGGAAGTTTCTGCATCGAAGAAGCCTGTGGCGGCATGCGGCTAAAGTCACAGCATGACCAAGGGTTACTACATCGTTAGAAACCATGTACTGTTGTTTGTCTCTAGGTGTCACATGTTTATAGGTCAACTTACCATTGAGTGATGTGTACGTTTGATATTATCACATTAAATCGTAGGGTGAAGTGGTTTCAAGCTCAGATTATTCCTCACAAAGCTCATAAACTTTTGTATTTACGTCACAGCAGATGTTTCTTGAAGCACGTTGTTTTAGAATATCAAAGAAGAATATGAGTTTTTAAAAAGCTGCTTTGTAAGCAACTATTATGAGAGAATTCGTTGCCAAAAACAATGCTATGTTATCTTTCTATCACTGAAAACCACATATATGAGTTTTGGAGGAAATCAGTTGTGTCGACGTAGATATTTTTGTTTCATATTTTAATTGCCTAAACTGTTTATACTTTCGGGCTAATAGCGGATAAGTTTATACGAACAATGTGGAGATAACAGGCAAGGGTACAGTTAATTGGATCCGTGCTTCAGAGAAATAACCGCAATTGCACAGCGTGGTTATCAAATTTTTTTGTGTTTTAAGGAAGTTCGCTGTCGTAGTCTTTGTTGACTGCTGTCTCGATAAGCATTTACTTGGTTGCCTGCCTTAGTAACCAAAGATTGCTTTACTTTTCACCGTTGAAGGGGTCTGTTCTGTGAAAAATGGGTGAAAAAAATGACGACTGGGCCTCTGAGAGAATATCAATGACTCATTTAGGAAATTTGTCGAGAAGCAGTAACTATGTGCGCAGTTTGGTGCGCCAGCAATTTCATCAACAGTCAGATCAGCCAGCTACTGCTTGGGCGAGACTTCGTGAGAGGTTGGCCAAGACTGGACAGGAATCTTTTGAATCTATCGATTCCGAAGAAGGCTTTCAGAGCTTTATGAAGAAAAAACAGAGCGAGAAAACTTCCAGGTCTGATAGCGACGGAAACAGCGGAGATGAAGACGAAGAAGAAGAGGAAGAAACGTTTGTTTATTTGAAAACGGCCAGTCCTGAAAAGAGATTTTCAACATCAGTCGATAACAAAAAGAATAAAGCTCCTGAGAAGTCGCCGCCAAGTTCTCGTTGCGTTCCGTCTCCGTCCACGCGGCGTTTGTCAGCGCCTCAGACACCGTCCACTGGGATAGAAACTGAAAAGAAGTACACCTTCGGTTCCACAGACGCTCATTCCCAAATATTAAACCGTAGGCTTTCACTGGCAGAGAATGTCATAAAAAATTACAGCAAGTACATACGGACGCCTGATGAAGATCAGCCACAGGAACGAACCCCGAGGATTAACATCGAGGACGAAGGCGCTGGTACCGAGCGAGAGCAAACAAGTAAAAAGCCGAGCATAGTGGCAATCACTGAGGAGGAAAGTTCGACGCTTACGGATGTCAAACTTGTTGATAGAGACGAAAGCCCCGTTATGTCGTCTTCTGTCAGTCATTTGGTTATTCCTCAGGGATCGTCCTATACAGTCCCGCCAAGTCCATCTGATGAAAGTGTAAAATCGTTCTTTAATGGCCCGGCGACTTTACGAAGGAATTCTTTCTCTGGAATGTTTTCTGAAGAGCTTTCATTTCACCAAAGTGGAACCGATACTACTTCAAAAGCTACGAAGGAGAAACTTTCCGCGAATAAGTTGCCCAGGATTTCACAAACCAGTCAGGGAAGAAGGGAAGTTTCTGCAAACAGTCGAGAGGAAGCCATCAAAGAGTTAAAGGAAAATCACAAGGAACTGACCAAGAACAATCTGTTAAAGCAAAGTACTCGTAAAAAAGAGACATTTTATCAGCAGCTAAAGCGCGACCAGGAAAGACGTGCTCTACGGTCGGAAATTTTTAATCGAGAAATGGAGGATATTAGGAAAGCACTCAAAGGAATAAACAGCCGATTGGATGAGAGAATAAAAATTCTGGATTGCTATGATCCGCCAAAGATGAATGTCAAACTACATCGCATCTTGCAGGTAGCTTTGGCGGGCATACCTTTTTCAAAATGAATAGTAACGTACAGTTAGACTTAGGCCGAACTTAGAAGATTGTAATATGGCGTTAAGCAACATACATTCGTTTTTTAGTAGTTTTCCGTGCAGTGAGTAACTTTGATGGAAATCCTTAAAGAAAACGGATGAGATAAGACTCAATTACTGAAATATTTGACGAGAATTTAATAATTTCCTTGGGAAATCTCTGTTCCTATTCCTTTCATTTTGTTTTGTTTTGTTTTTTTTTTTCAAAATGACGACAAAGACAAAATTGATTGTCTTACTAGTTTCTTTGGAATCTAGGTAAATAATTTATTGGGCTTAATCCTGACGCCAGTGGGGGCCCTGAATCACAGTCTTTAGAGGAAAAGTGTTGTAAAACACCTCAAACGTTCCTCTCGAGGAAAAAACAAGTAAATTTCAGTAATTGCTCTTTAATGTTTTTCAAAGACACAGGCCATATGATATCAAGAAATAAGACCAATTCTTTTCTTTTTTCGGAAATTTTCATCATTTTATCTTTACCCAAACTTTATAACAGAATAAATGCTGTTTGTTAAGAACTATTTCTTTTCCTTCCTCAACTTACGAAATGGCCAAAGTCTAACGCGAACATTGTTTCTCCTTATTTAATCATATTTGCTACATGTTATAAGAATCGGCTGGTTGTTTTTTCCACCGGAAAATATCTTTTATCAGCTTCGATCACAACTGCACTGGAAATTCCGTGTACAAGAAGAGAAAATACAAGTAGAATAAAACTGTATTTGTTTTACATGAGAAAGAGACAAGAAAGCGCTTCTTAAACCCTTGATGTTCTGGTTTTCTCATGTTCGTGCTCGACATTTGTGATGGGGCCCTTAGGGCTACACTCCGAGTTTGTTGATTCCGTGTCTGACGAAAATGGTTGCAAAGATTGGAATGTTCTTTCTTGGTTCGAACTTTCATGTGCAGAATTGTTCTCAGTCATATTTGAACTTTCCTCCAAAGATGGATTGCTTCTCTGAATTTCAAGGTTTGTTTGCAAGTGACAAGAAAGTACGCCGGTTTTCCTCATCCCTTTCCAGTCTTGAATATCTTTATCATCGATGCTTTGTTCTTTTTCTCTAATAGAATCATAAGCCCGCATAACATTTCCATTAATTAGTGGTTCACGCTCATTCACATGACTATTCATGCAACTGCTACTCAAATGTCCCCTGCGCGGTGTTGTGTTGTCATGACAGGGAGTGAAGGCACTGTGACGTCGCTGAAGGGTTTTACGCCCAATGTCGTTGCGAGTTGAGTTATTCTCCGCTGGTTGGCTTCCGTCGTTACATGACGTGATATTTTTACCAATACTGTATTCCATGATAGAAAAAGCGGACGCGGCCCGCCCTATCACTGGAACAGGTTTAACAGGTACATTAATGTTCGGGACAACTTTCTCGAGTGACATATTTTCATCTTCTTGACCATCTTCTCGCGAGAGGTTATCCTTGTCTGGCGGACTTTTTTCCTCTTCAGCAGGTTGGGGAGGACTTGTTTGCTGCTGATTATGCTGCCAATTTGTATTGATTTGATCCACGTTTTGTGACTCGACTGTGTTGTTCTGACAAATTATCCCAAGGTTTCCATCGTAACTTGTAGGCTTTTCACCATTTGTTACATTTGGTATCGTCATAAATTCAACTGGTACAAACTCATCCTCCTCAGTTTTGTTTCTATGATCATGCCTTCTGCATTTCTTGTGTTCTTTCGGTACGAGGGGATAATCGGCTTCTTTGACGCTGTTACGACTCTCGGTATCATCTCTTCGTTTTCCATGAGACTCTACGGGTACTGTTAATGTTGCCTGTATCCCGTCGACCTTTTCGGTGGGACTAAACGGAAAATTTCCATCACTACCCAGGCGCGTTCGGTTCTCACCAATCACATCGGGAATCGTACCATCACTTCCGGCGCTTCTCAAACTTGAGCACGAACAAGTCATCCGTGAGTTGATGGAGCAAAGGCTTTGCACGCTGGCTTGATCTGACAAGAGAATAATAGGTCCTTTACCACTAAGTGCGTTGTAAAGCTCATTGTATCCTCTTGGAAGTGCGTTTAAACTAGAAGCTGTTGACGCGCTCTTTAGGCTGAATGAGGCTGGTGACACGGCTCCTCGTCTAAGGTGGAGTGGGTAGAGTGATTTGTTTATAAGCGCAGATGGCCTTGAGATTTCCTTTTGAGAATCTCTCGTTGAATGTTTTCTTCTTTCCTTCGCTGGCACGTGAAGCAGAGCATTCTCTCCTGTAATGGGTCCAAAAGTTAAACTATATCAGTCTAAATGACCATAAGAATGTTGTTAGTGATGATGCATTTTAGCAACGGAGACAATTTCGGGAGCTTTCAACAGCAGGCAACGACCTTTCAAGTAATACTTCAAATGCCTTACCGCTGAGCCACAGGAGACTCGGTCTGAACTTAGGAGTAGGCTAGCCCCCTGTCTGGAGCTGTCTGGATTTTGAGTCTTGTTGAGAGATGTAGTCTATCATTTCATTAAGAGGCATACAACAAATCAAACTAGCTTCATTTCTATAAACTTCATCTTGTGGAAGAGTACTCAAGATTTGCTCCTAAGTTTTAATACAATTAGATGCTTCATTAGAAAGAGAAGCTTGAGGGATTTTACACGCGGTATCAATAAATAGAAGATACAGGCTATACCGATAAATACCTTCTGGTTGGTCTTTAGTTATATCAGCGGCGGAGGGAACTCTCGAAGGCGGTTCGAACTTCAACGTTATGCCTTCTACGGGTACCTCCTTCATTGGCTTGTAATCTGAAAGAACAGAATTCAAAGACCTGCTCCGACTCACGTTAGCTCGTCTGTTCGGTCTTAGTAGTTTGGTCATCGAACGCAGCGACCAAAAAGATGATTTCTTTAGACTTCCTCTGGGAGTTATGGAACAACTTATCGAAATCTCTGACGGAAAGCTTCGTTCAGTTTGTCTTTCGCTGCACAGTGACGTAAAGTTCGCATGTGTGCTGTTTTCAGGTCCCTCTTGTGATCTCTGGTTATGCATGGACGTGAGAGCATGAGAAAAAGCCACCCGCCGCTTTTTAGGCGGTAGGTTGAGCCTCGCTTTGGCGTACGTGTAAAAGAGGGAAAAGTTACTTGCGACCACTGATACTGGTAGAGCAATGACCAGCACCCCGCATATTGCACATGCGCTACCAACAGTCTTTCCAATCCATGTGCGAGGATGAACTTCACCGTAGCCGACCTGAAAATTGAAAGAAACACATAACGTTACATACCATAACGAACGTATTGGTTATTAAATTACTCTCCGTCTCCTCTATTAATCGTTTCATTTAAGGTTTGACCTATCTTGCACATATTAGAAATGAACTCACCGTTGTCATAGTGATTACAGCCCACCACATGCTTTCAGGGACGCTTCTGAAGTCGCTATTTAAGTCATGTCTTTCCAGATAATACACAACACTTGCAAACACAACCATAACGAAGCCAGTAATGACTAGCAGGAGACACAGCTCAAGAGAGCTGGCTTTTAGGGTATTAACAAGCACTTGAAGAACGTAAGACAGTTTAAATAACTGGAAAATACGCGCAGCTTTTAACATGACAAGCATCTCTAAAAATGGTATCTCCTCCATGGACGGATGGAAAAAGAATACATATAACAGCACCAGAGGTATCAAGTCTGTCCACGTGTAGGGACTTTTGACAAAGGCGAGTTTTTTGGGTGAAAACAGGAGCCTAAGAGCAAAGTCCATTGTGAACCATGAGATACATATGAGGTGTGTCACTGATAAGGCTATATATTGAGGAGCAGTCTTGTCGCTGAAGTACTCCAGAGTTGACAAAGAGAATTTGATAATGTAAGCTGTGAATACCACAAACGAGACAATTCCCACCAGCTGTGAAGGAAGAGTAATTTTGCATTTCTGTTAGTATGGGTCCAGTACTATTTCTCCCATCAGATGTGGACAAAATCCGGAACATTATCGATGAAGGCAATATTATGTAACAAATTTACCCGGAACGCTCTTGGAAAAAGTATGTTTTTTTTAGAGGAGAAGAAATTAGAATGAGACAGGTAAACAGAGCAGGGTGTGTCTCTAACCAACCCTCACCATTCAAACACCAGTTAAGTGTTTGCTAACCTTGCTTTCCCTCCATGCGTCAAGTGTACTACCGTGCGAGAAAATAACAGACTTCAAATAGTGTAGGTCTTAGTAAGGTAGTTCAAAGCTCATGAAAGCAGCACAAATACAGCTGGCAACTTAACTCTGCGTCAGTATTTGTCATCAAATTTTATTGCAAATGCTTGGTCTGGCCATTGGTTATGTGTATTCACAATTTTTTTATTAAGGACTCGACGTTTTTCAACTTTGAGGTAAAGCTGTAAACTGGTAAATTAAAATACCACTTAACTACCTTTGCCCAAGAGGACGTGTAAGGTTCTTCAAGGCTCTTCCAGACCTTGGGCTGATATCTCGACCACCATGATTGTACTTCATCGACGTCTTCGAAGAGTCCCGAGTCCTCAGACAGAAATCTTTCCTCGGGGTCCTCCTCGTATCCAGGAAGCTTGAAATATTTTAATTTTTCTTGTTTTTCTTTGTGTTGCTTATAATTTTCCCAACAGCAAGTTTCGACCTGTGTCGTTAAAAAGAAAAATAATAATAAAAGACTTGAATTAAAATTGAGGAATAATTTAGAGAATCAATGGATGGACGATGGGAAGGATATTTGATTGTCTATCGGTAATGGTTAGAAAAGGTGTCGCCGAGTAAATATTATGACACTACAATGGATTAGAAATATGTAACATCAATTCCACGAGTGCGTGTTGTTTGAAAGTAATTGTCCCATTATTTTGTCTTTCCGTGAGATTTTAGATAACCAACGTGGCGCGGTGACAGTTATGTGACGTTATGTCTTGTAAACGATAAATCGACAGCTGAAAATCATGTCGCCGTGGAACAGTTTCTCTCATCAACCCACATTTCACTTAACATCTTTTCTGTAAACTACAAATATTGATAAGCCCTAGAAACTTGTCCGTTGCCTTACCAACCAAGTGGGTTCAATATATTTTCCGCCGTAATGTGTGTGTGTGTAAGAGAGCAGTTCTTGCTGATCAAAGTAGCTCACAAAGTTTACCTGACATAAAACCATTAACCATGTTGAGATATAAGCAGGAAGTAGCAGCCTTGGACTTGATGAACTTATTACAAAGGTTTTTCTTTGAGTCAGTAACTGAAAGTCATTTGAAGTATTTTTTTCGGTAACACGAACTAAAAAAGTTTTGTAAGAAACAGTTATATCCAATGTGCACAACATGTTAATCAGTCATTGCTAGACTGCGCCAAATATTAAGACTCAGAGCGGATATTTATATTGCTTGTTATTAAATTTTCATTTTGATCGCGTCCTATTCAAGATTTTCTGTTACTCGAGGTCTACCATGTTTAAAATGAATTCGAATATGCTGTCATCTAGCTGTCGCAGCGCTACAATATTTAAAATGAATTCGAATATGCTGTCATCTAGCTGTCGCAGCGCCATAGACTGTAGGATTATGTTTTCTTTACCATACAGCAGGTGTACTTATTGCGGTTTAGTTTTCTCTAGAGCTTAACTGAAGAGTGAAATGAGTTGTTTCTCAAGTCCACAAAAAAACTTTTTGTCCCTACGTGCCTTACGTTGGCCATTTAGCAGCAGAAAAGATTCTTGTCTGCACTTTATCTTTTCTGTATAAATTTACTTAAGGGCAATACCTGATGCAAATTGTACTTAGTTGACACGTTAAATCCTAATAAATTATACAAAAAATATTTTTCGCTTATTCATTTTTCTCAAGGAAATGATGCGTTTTAGGTGTTAATCTGTTCACTTGACCAATTGTTGGTTCGAGCACAAATTTCGACAAAGTGAGAAGGTAAAAGTTGCTTGACACCTGCTTCCAAATATTGAAATCATCTCTATTGTGAACATATCTGCGTTAGCGACAGAATAAATGCATCTATTATACAAAGCCTAATACACGAGTAGAAAAAATGCACGGGGTGGTATTTACAAAACAGTGTTGAAAAAGCGTTTGAGCTTATGAGATAGTAAATAGAAACCAAAATAAAAAGGAGTTTTAAAGATTTACAGCATTACATAATGGCCTGGGTAGCTCCTTTTAAAGTCAATTTTGACAGAAGCTTTATTAATAAGATAAGGAGACGCAACACGCTTGTTGCAAATGATGGTTGTGTTATTGCACAATATTTTTGGACTTTTTAATGTGCAATAGATGCCATGAAAATCAACCATACTGATATTTCCTTTATTTTTGCTGCAGCTGTGTCTTCAAATAAGTACGATAAGGCCGCGAGTAAATTTATATAGACCCTTAAAAAAATTATGTTTACAGTCCCGAAAAAAAGCATGAAGAAATTTCAAAAGCAAGGTTACAAGGTGCTTATGCTTTCAGACGGTGAATTGAGAACAGTCATGATCCGGGCTCAATGTCTTAGTATTCGTTTCAACCAACAGTTGAATGCGAGGAAAGTCGAGCGTAACAATTGATTAAAATAAACATCCGCTTTTGTCTTTAAATGTATAATGAGAAAATACGTCAGTGAAATGCTATACGATTTGCAGATCGATTTTGAGTCCTTAATTTTTGTTTATTTTTAGCAAAATAGTTAGCTTTCTATTGGAGTTTGCAATATGCCTACCAACCACTGAGATACTTGGTGACAGACATATTCTTCCTCATTATCAACGGGAATAATTTCACTGAACAGTTTTCATTTCCATCAAAATTCTACAAACTATTATTTTCTTAGTAAAGCGTTTATGCATGGAATTCTCACGACAATAAGTGATATTTTGAGGCGATTTTGTTCATTTTATTAGGAGCGAAACAATTTACTAATAATTCTTATTTCAAAGAATAGGAAAACGTGATCAGTTGAATATAAGTAGGAATTCAAAGTAACAAAATAGAAGCAAAAATGAATTATCAACTCACAAGCGCCTACCCCATTACTATTAATCTGTATCTGTATCTCTGAACCTAAATTTCAACCAAGCGTTCTCATAGCATATTTGGAAAGGTCTTTGATTCATGTATTGATGATATTGTCTGGGAGTTATCATCAATTTACACCAGACAATGTTTGCAAGGGCGACTTACCTGCTGTTCATCAATACCCCAAAAGCTGAGTTCTTCCTCAAACAATGGACCACAAACATCTGAAGGGCAGTGAAGCTTCCCTGTACGGTAAAAGTTTAGGATCTGTGTGAAAACCCCCGGGTGTCTGTCGAAAAAGTACTCCTCCTTCACGGTATCATATTCCGGTGTTCGAGCGACTGTGGTGTGATGATCCCCAAGATAAGACAGTCGTGTATCTGGAATGGTCTTAAGCGTACTCAGAAAGGTTTCATGTCGCACTCCACCAACATTTATCACAATTCTATTAGAGCGCTTTTTGGTCTTGCCAGAAGGCATGGTTATTCAGTTCTTGGAATATCTAATACAAAAAACCCAAGGTGCTTCATGATTAGTACGAGGAACGTTTTGCTGTAAAACTGTAGACTTGATTATTATGTTCACTTTGATACCATTGACACCGTCTCATTACCAATTAGATTTCCGTTACTAGCCTGGCACTTTTTAGTTAGTTATTTTTCAGTTATGTCGATTGTTTCGTTGAGTTGCATTTGAGCGAAAAAGCTTTCCAACTGCATATAGTAGTGTCATCAAATGATATAGAACACTGTCTTTATGCCTTCCAAGGCCCTTGAGCCGTTTGCACTATTATTAATTTCTTTGCAAGCTGTCTTCACAGAAATGATTAAATGGTGCACTTAGAGCATTAACCAATCACAATTCACCTTATGACGTTCTAAGATGACGGCGATATTTCACAATTATATCGCCCAAAACAACTTTTGCTTTGACAATATCTTTTGTCATTCACCTGTCAGTTCTAGCGCATTCGCATCGAACGTGTTTTTTTATAACGCTCTTTTGGTCCAAAATATCTAACCTGGCCTTAATCCTGTGATTTGCTAGCGATATGTTTATATCTAACAAATTTAATAATTTGAAAATAACATATATTTGCCCTCACGTGAGAAAAACTTTTATCCTGCAATTAATGATCATCTAAATCTATATGCAAGTAGTTTGCTCGTGTATCGTAAGCTTTCATCTTGTTCACGATCGAGTGACATCCTTACCGACTTAAGTTTTCCGCCCCGTCAATCATCTCCAAAAATATTCGAAATCTTCCGACAGAACCATTTTTCGAGCCAAAAGTAAGTAACCACAATTTAGAAGATTGAGCGTAATTCTTAATTCTTGTTCTTAATTTCTGAAAAGTCTACAATACGCATTAAAATGTAAAACCCAATCGAAGTCATAAGTCTGAATATTTTTACTTGCAAAAAGAACCTCAGCATCAAGTTAATAACACGAAATGAATGTTTTAATTCTTGGATGAGAAAACCTTGAAATCGGCAATATAAAAATGTGAATAAATTATGAATAAGAAATCGTGAACTAAACAATCAGTTACGTGATCGTAACGAATTATTGATCGTAATTTTTACGTTAGCTTTGAGCATTGATAAAATATTTGCGCCGCATGTTAAACTCTTCTAGATCACTTAATTTGTGTTTGTTCCATGTAAAATTTGTAAGGTAGTCAAACGCCTTCTCATTTCACTCAAGACAGTGAATTATACGCAATGTATCAGCGCAGCTGCGCCGCAAGACCAGGTTCTCAGTTGTCACTTGGTTCGCTGTCTTTGTTTGAAGTATTTCAGTACCGTGAGAAAAGAGTTTTGGTTCGTTTTTTATCCATCTTCACAATTTCCTCGTCAGGCTAGATCAGAATTCAAAATTTTTTATAATCGACTGAAATAAGCGAGGCATCAGAATACAAAGTATATTAAGTGTAATACTCCCGTCGGTCGCGTTTTACATCCAAATTAACGAAAGACCTGACAGATGCAAACATATTGAAACAAGTGATTATTTATTCTCGTTGAAGAAACATCAGACATCTTTGAGTCTTTCGTTTTGATTGGTTAAAGCTTCGCGGATGTTGTTCGCTAAAATCATCCAAAATAATGCTTGACTTTGAAGTCCTTTCCCCCCTGCAGTTGAATTTTAAGAAAACTCATTTGCGCGTAAGGTGTTTTAAAAAAAGGACCAGGTCGTTAATAAGTTCAGGTCGACTCATTGAGAAGTGTGATATTTAATCCTCCCTCTGCCACATGATCGTGGAACTTGAAATAAAAAGGGAAAAATTGAATACGCAAAAAGATTTTTTCGATTTATTTTAGTGCTGGCTGACACTTCCTGTAAAGTTGATATCAGATAGACACAAGCTGGTTTATTAATCACATTCTCCCTTTCAAATTTGTCTTCTCAATTTTATCGTTTCGCTTTCGAATCATTATATTTCCATTTTTTTATTTTAGCCAACTTTAAGCAAAGATCCGTTACGTTAGAGGTGCATTGTAACTAATTCATTCGACTTTTAGAGACAGCCTCACTTAGAAAACATTTTCCAGTGCAATTCATTAACATTTTCTGGCAAAATTTAGAAATCAGTCAACGTTATAAACATACAGTAGTTCCTCAAAATTAATAGTATAACAGAAGTACACTTAAGCAAAATTCTGTTGCGTGAATCAATTTTTTTTATTTGCCTCGAGCATCTTTAAAAACTGCGGTGAAATTTGCGGAGAACGGAGACAATCAGGCTGTCAAACTTTAAGTGATCTAGAGCCATCTAGAATCATTCCAAATTTGCCAGTGGCTGGAATCACATTCTGTCATAAAATATTGAATGACGCTATTATAATCTTACCTGAGTAATATTTTGGAGCTACTCCATTTTGAAGTAGTGTTCAACATGTTCTATTCAAGTCATCTCCTATCTGTTCCAGTTTACATATGACGATTGGGAATACGAATCTTTGAAGGCAGATATGATGACAAAAGTTTCCTTCGACGCCGATAAACACCTTGTCCATTTATCCGAGAAATCCTCAGAAGTGAGATGAAAGACGCATTGAGCTGCGATCCAATCTATTGGAAAGTTGTCTTCCCGATACACGTCTGTGACAGCTGTATTATTAACAGCATAGAATCATAAGCTCTTTAGTCGGACGATTTATTGGAGTGAGTCGGCGGATCTCATTAGCAAGTTGAAGCTGTTTTTCACCCCTCGGAGCTAAAGATAACGAATTGCATGGGAGGGCTTTGTCCACTGACATAATAACAAGGTTCTATAAATGTCAGTCACGAAAAATAATTCAAATCTTGAAAATCACTTCAGGGCGACACCCGCTGCAGACTTTCTTCCATACTTTCAGCTTATTTTGGTATAGCCAAGAGTTACGGTTGGAAACAACGTAAACAGCATTGAATTTGTCGCAAAAGTGATTTTATTTCTATATGTTGTTTTGGTTTAAAAATAGGAAGTTTTACTTAGGTGGCGATAATGCTTCCTAGAATCAAAAGCAAAACATACATCCAACAAAGCCATAAGAATGGGCTTAGTTCTGCGCATATTAATGTGGTTGATCTCTAAAGTCGTTAACTCTGTTCCGAGTTATAAAATCAAGTTGTTTGAAGTTCAATCGTATATGACACCGGGTTTTCCGTAAACAGAAGTATTCTAATTTTTTGTCTCAACAGAATATTCGATAAACCTTTTGTTTAAATTTTAGAAATCAGCTCTCTTATATCATCACAAAACAAATTAGAAGACAAAGGCTTCAAATTCTATTTTCTCAAATACTCCAATATGATTTAAGAACGCTGAAAATTGCTTTTTTAAATCTATATATCATAAACAATTTGTTTTTAATTTAGTATTTTGTCATAGGTTTGTACACAGGCAACATGCAGCAGCCGAGAGATTGTTTGTTTAGGAGAGAGAGACCACTTGATAATGATGATTATTAGTTTGCCTTTGTGATATTTGTGCTATTTTATACAAGAATTTGAATCTATATCAAGGTCTCCTTACTTCTACTCGGATGTAAAATTTTCGAAATTGATATCCCAGCTTTTGACATGCCAGTATATGGAAGCATTAAGTAGGGTTCAACCAATTGAACGAACACCTCTGAACGAATCAACCTATTTTGCACTTTGGCCTCCCCTCTTGTTGACATTATTGACTGCTTTGTGAAAATAATTTTGAATTGGATATCCCCAAGATCGCATTTATTTTCCCTCATCATTTGTCTGCACCTAGACAGTTTACACCCCTGGGTGGGGACGGGAACAAAATAACCGCTCGAAGCCCAACGAGCCACACACTGAGTCGCCTGGTCTCTCACGTTTAGGGTAGAACTTTTAAATACTAATAACTAATCATTTATCAGCGAAACAAAGCTCATTCTATCACTGTTAAGATTTATGAGGAATTGGACTGATTTGCTCATTTTTAGATCGTGATGTTTATGTTGACGGTGGGTGCTAAGCTAAGAAATAATTCTTGCAGATCAAGTCAGCGGTCAAAATACAATGTATGTTTTTATTGTTAATTTTCTGAGTGCACGTCAGTATATATCTCCTTCAGAGATTCATCTATCGCCAAAGAGATGTTGTAAAGAGGCATTGTGTTGTACTCGTTAACGTCAGTGTACCGTAAGAAGGTACAAAGAGCCACAAATCGTACACTAGTTTGTCTTAGAGTTATCGCTGAAGAGATACGACTAACCATTGAAGGGTGAAAAATTATAACTTTGTTGAGATGTTGATTCCTTATCTTATCCAGAACTCAGTAATACTGAACAATTCAGTATTATTTGTGACAGAATTGTTAAGTCACTTACCTGTAGATTGCTGACAAATAACTGATGTCCAACATGTGACGGGGATGTAACCCTGTGATCCTTTAGCGCTAACAAATAATCCAAAGAATTAGCTTATCAAAAGTATAAGATTAATCACTTCTTACAGATGACAATTTTGAACGAGGAGGATCGATTTTCCCCTTATATGAAAAATCCGAAGGGCCATCTTTGCGCTATGTCGGCTGTTATGGACCCACATTAAGTAAACTGACTCACTTGGTTGGCATTAAACAGCAGAAGTAATCTGCATCAGGTTAGCGGCTTTACAACACCCAATTAGATAAGGTTCTCTCCATTTAAAATGTTTCCATTGTTTCGAAGCAAACAGGAAGAAAGTTCTAGAATTGAAAGTAATCTTGAGCTTTGCCACATATTTATCACAAGTTCTCGATTAAATTCATTTAATGCCTGAAAATGTATAATCAAAATATAATTTTGCATTCAAAGAGCTTTAGAATCCCCCGATTATAGCATCGTTTTTGGTTAAATAATATCTTTATAACCAATAGATTAACGCCGATGAAGATCATCTGCTTGTAATTAAGTTTGCTTTCCGAAAAGCGCACTAAACTATTTATTTTGCGAGCATATTCACCTTTTGAAATAAACTATTCCTTCATCAGCCGCTTTCTCTCCTTGCGTTTGTATTTTGTTCACAAGTGACTTTACTAAAACTCTCAAGAGTCTCAACACGAATTATCAACCGACTAATTGACACAGGAAGATATAAGCGTGCGTCAGGCAGGTGCCGTTCGAAGCAGATGTTTCTTTTGTAACCAACGGACGTCTTAAGATTGTTTACATGAAACTGTTGCTACGAATGACAAAACCATGACGTCTGAACTTATTTCGTTTGATTGGTCTTTCCTTTAGATATATGTAGACTTTGAGGCTAATTTCCATGGAACAAGGAAACTGTTTACCTCTTTTAAAGTTGGTTTTGAATTTGGAATTAACTTCTGTTATTGTGAACGTACTGCTTCTCTTAACTTCAAGTAACTTCTATCAGTTGCAACAAATATCTTGACAATATGGGACTATAATCCCTAAAAAATTATAACCTTTCTTAAAATGGTTCCCTCTCGACATCTTCAGTTGTCAGCGTAAAGGTAAAACACAATAAACTATCATTTTGTGCACCGAAATAGCAAAGGACAGAGACAAGCATTTTTTCTTTGCAAACCGACGCCGGGGAGCACGCTATTCCGCGATCGTCTTCCATAGATGGTGAACAGCGGTTCGATTATCGTGACTCAATGTGAAAGAAAGTTTTTATCAATGCCTCTATACGGACAACTTTCCAGAAGGCTTTAATTACAAACACTCCGAGAGTCTTTCCGCCCTAGAGGAAGTTCGAGGCCTTACGCACAATGAGCCGGCAGGAAGTCTGGCACTAATTATCATTGCCAGACCCCTCGCGGGCACGCGTCGATCAAGCCTCAAACTTTGTCGCGTGCGAAGAGACTCTTGTACCAAAGCACTCATAATAGGAGCTACTATACAAACAATTATTTCTCTTTTACCGAAATCATAGACTTTTCGAATAAACGTTTTACTTATCATTCTCATCGATAACCTGCTCACGAGCTGTAGGAAACTACGTCATTTCTACCTTCTCGTTTATTTTCAAATTTAACATTCAGTTGCGATGAGTATAAGCTAAATGAAAACATAACCACATGGATCTCCTGTTTATGTCACTCTAAGTTAGTTAAGACAACTTAACTTGATCTTGAACATTTTGGGAACGAAATGATTAAGTGACTTTATCATTTGCAGGTTTTAAACGATTACAGTCCAGTCCCTTTGGGCTATCTTCTGATTCACTGTCGCCTTCAGGAAGCTCTGGATGTGCTCTTATTGGAATCAAGTTTAACGAGAAATGCGCCGAGCGTCTCCCGTATCGTCTGTTGTCGGTAGATTCGTAGTTAGGTAAAACGTCCATTTCTTCACAAGGACTTTTCTTTGTAGAATTCAATAATCCTAATTCAATTCCTGAGGTTACCAGCGATGAATATCGACCTCTTCCATTACCGTTTGCGCCGTCCGGTGAGGCAACACTTACACTGGTTTGCGGCGTAGCAAGTTGCAACGCTTTCAGAGCATTATCCACCATATTTTTCTTTCCCCTTGAAGGGAGTTTGAGCTTAACTTTGGCGTAGGAATTATACAACGAGAAGTTGCTGGCCACGACAGATACTGGTAGTGCTATCATAAGAACCCCACTGATAGCACACACGCAACCCACCAGCTTACCCGGCAGGGTCGTTGGAAACATGTCACCGTATCCTACCGTTGTCATGGTAACCAGTGCCCACCAGAACGAGACTGGGATATTGATAAATTTAGTTTCAGGGGTCTTTCGCTCGGAGTAATAAGCGAGGCTGCCATAAACCACCACCTCAAGCGCAAGGATGAAAATCAAGAAGTACAGTTCACGTGAGCTGGCACGAAGTGTTTGTGTAAAGACTTGCATAACATAAGAAAATTTTAATGGTCGAAAGGTGCGGAACATTCGAAATACGTAAAAAATTGTGAAGTTTCTGAGTATTTCGTCATATGGAGTCAAGATAACCAAGTAGAATGGAATGATGGCAATGAAGTCAGCCCAGTTTTGAAGCGTTCTTAGAAAACGACGTCGATCAGGACAGCATAGTAGACGAATGGCGATATCTAATGTGAACCAAGAAACTGCTATAGACTCAATGATGAAAAGAACTTGATTCTGTGGAGAGTGCTCATTACTGAAGTAGTCCAAAGTCAAGATGCAAAACTGTGTGACGACCGCTACGTTGAAAATGAGAGATATAAAGCCGACGGCCTGTTAAGCAAAATGTAAAAAAAAGCTGTATAAAAATATGTTTTTTTTCTGTTTGCTCGTTTATGCATATTTGTAGATCAACTGTGATCTTACAGTGTTCAATTGATCCAAAGATCACTGGATCACTTGTCTAAGTTTGAATATACTGTTACCTTGTAAGTTGCATGTTTCTAAAGACGTATCACTGAGAAAAAGCTGCCGTATCCAAAGTCAAAATAATATCATGTTCATTGTTATGCGTAGTCTAAATGAATGGTTATTAAATGCATAGTTACCAATTGCATGGTTATTAAATGCATGGTTACTAATTACATGGTTATTAAATGCACGGTTACTAATTGCATGGTTACTAAACGCATAGTTACGAAGCTGTGAGTAATCGGCCAGCAATCATTTAAAGGGGACAAAATGGATACTTTATTTTGGAAAACTGACTTGACGCACACCATAATATGTTGCCAGTTCTGGCTAAAGAAACATTGAAGCGAATAATTTGTATAGAAATAAAAATATTGATAACAATGAAGGAACTCCCGCAAAACCACTCAGTTGTATCCGATCGTCTCTTCAAAGTCAACCTTAGGCGCTTGCCTCTGACCTTCGTGAGGACTTTGAGGTAGCCTCAAACTGTTCAAGGGTTAGTGGAATCAAATACATTGGAAATCTCCATACCCGTTTCAACATAAGTTATTCAGGAGTCACAACATTTAGCCATAAAATTTAGTATAAGTAACCGTAACCGTCATAATATTCACCTGATCACCAATTACTTTTTTTTTCTGAACTACATGTGGATAATTAGAACGCATTATGACTATTACTTTGGAAAGTAGATATCAACCTTTTATGGTAATGTTTTAATTCTTCGTTTTCGTCATGTAGTTGAATACATTAACTGAAAATAAGTTGAAGTATCAAAAAAAGGAACTAGATGTTACTTGCCACGGCAACACTGAATATTCTTTCAAGACCAGTTATTAAATAAAGCTCTGATTTTCATCGTAATTTAATGATCAAAGTTTGGAAAGGTAAGAAAAGCTTTCAAAACTAAAAGAAATAAGTTATCTAATTTAAGACAAATTTCTAGAGCTCTTGAGAATATTTGACACATTAACAAAAGATTTTTCTCTCTAGGAACAGAACGAGACATTTGTCTTTCAAACACTTGCTCACCTGCTCGTATGTAAAGAAAGGAAAAGCGAATATAAGGCCCACGAAAAATAAGGCCTCAAAATTATCTTTTATTTTGAATTGATTAGTACATCTTTATTCTTTGATGTAAACAATAGACAGAATTTGAAATACTCGTAAAGTGGTTTACAGTATTCCTTTCTGTTCTTATCTCACGGGTCCCTAAGAAATTTTCCTTTGTTATCATGGCTTTTATCTTGTTGCTTTTTGATATCTTTCAAGTCGAGGAAGGAGTAATTCATTTTCAACCTAAAATATCGGAAGCGGCATTTTCAATAGTCGACGTTAAGTCTTAGTTCAACCAATCACAAAGAGAATAAAGGTACTTTCATTCATTAGAAGAGGTCGCTTAATAGAAGACTGAACAAACAGTGTTAAGACTAAATTAGGAAAGAACGTCTTATTCCCTGACAGTAAGCAAAGATTCTGCGACTCATGATACGAGGCTGCTAACACAAACGAGTGATTGTCGGTCGTAAGTCTCCATCGCTTCGACATTAAAATCACATACCCTAGGCTCGGATGAAAATTTTTAGCCCGAATTATTTTATTTAAATGTTTGCTTTTCCGATCATTCTTCTTCCGCAAATTTATTGAATATAAAAGGTAGAAAGCCCGAACCACCAATGTTATGAGAGCTAAAACCAGATACATGGAGAGCAAAAAAAAATATTTAAATGTAAACTATCATTCACGAGACCTGGATCATCATTAATGCTGCGAATACAAAATATTTCAAGCGATAAAAGCGATACGTTTTATCACGACGTGGCAACTTTTGTATTTTCTAATGCAAACAATTTCAAAGTTGAAAGCAAATGATCATCATAATGTGTGAAAGTATCTAAGGGAAAAGCTTTTTTACTTTTTATTTAAAAAGATTCGACTGAGGGTAACTCACAAGTAAATAAATTGATGAAACGCGGTGAAGTCAAAACAAACCCAGATCAGCAACTGAGCAATGACTGAAGAATTAGACTACACTGAATACTATTCACAACGCCAGAAGTCTATGTCTTAGGTATCCTAAGCTAAAAAAAAATTAAGTATAAAAACGTTGACTAATATGCTGGCGCCAACTATTAAGAAGGATGTTTTACGTACCCTTGCAAATTTCGATGAGTAAGGATCATCAAATGTTTTCCATATTTTTTTCTTCATCGTGTGCCATGGATGCCTCCAGCGCGCAGCTGCTGTTGTGACCCGCCGAGCTGAGTCGTGCGAGGCACAAAGTTCACTTCCACTACTAGGGATTTCGATGTCACCAGACCCGCTGTCGATGTTTTCAAAGTCTGAATCTTGATCTTCGTCTCGTGAGAAGCCTTGAAGTTTCTCTTCAGCGTCGCGATGTTCATCATATTTTGCCCAACAACAAGTTTCAATCTGTTTTTCGTCCAGACCCCAGAAGTTAAGTTCTTCCTCAAAGAGTGGTCCACACACATCCCTTGGACAATGTAGTTTCCCTGTGCGATAGTAGTTGAGAATATGTGTAAAAACTGCGGGATTCCGGTCGAAGAAAAATTCTCGCTTTTGTCCGAGCGGTCTTGGATCCTTCAGAGCTCGTTCAGCTATCCATGCCAGCCGCGTGTCAGGTATGCTTGCCAAAGTACTCACAAATGTTTCGTGTCTCTGCCCTCCAACGTTCAAATAAAGCCTTGTTTCTCCCGGGTTATCAGCGTCGAAGAGACGAGAGCGCGATCGAGACATCTTTGACGCGATTGACTGTTGTGACGCCGAACCGGAGTTGTTCGACGCAGCAGCAGTTTCGTCGACAGAATAATCAGCGATACCGTCAGGCTGCGTCTGTTCTTGAATTCTAATGCAATAATGTTAAATTCAGTATCACGAGATATAGGTCAGAGGTAATGTGTAGCTATCGGTTGGTTTCTACCGACCAATCTAGCAGTTTGCCTGGCTTTCTACAACCAAGAATCATGTCAAAAGTTTGGTTGTGCAGTTACCCTGGGCAATAAGGCATCTCTTGCTCATTTAACGCCAAATCAGTCCGCAAACACGTGGTGAGTAAACATTAAAATCCCCCCTTTGATCCAAATACGCCCCAGGGATTTGTTAGTCACGTTCAGTTGCTGAACAAATGTACTTTTCCGGTGGCAAAAACTTCAGCTTTAGCATGTCCAGTTATTTTTCTTTCTTTTGAATGATTGATTGTTAATGAACCTTCGAGCAAGTTTTAAATTGCTTTCTTAATATTTCTTTACTCCGCAATGATAAAATAATTTTTGCGTTTTTTATCTCACTCGCAGTGGTGTTCTCAAGACATGAATAAAACGCGCATCAACAGCGAAAACTTTTAAAAATTGTTGTGTCTACCTTAATGCTTTTTAAATCGATCGTCCTTTTGTTTTTTTACTCAAAAGCGAAACACACCGAACATATCACTGAGCAAAAGCCATAGTAATCTAAAGAAAATGAACAACAATTCGACAATTATTAGTAAACGCATTTCATGATCTTGACAGAAAGCTGCGTATGACATCATGTATTTTTGGTTTGTATGATTAATTCATTAGTCGAGGTGAGCAATTTAAATTATATCTGGAGGCAATCAGTTGGGCTTGATTTACTCTTGTTTGGAGTAGGTAGTCCCTGCAGAGGTTGTCCAGCCATGGTTACTCTGCGAATTTGTACATATTCCATCAGCTAGCTTACATCGAATACATAACCGCGTACTGCAATAACCTTCTGGAAGATTTACTTTATCTTTATAATATTTGTTTTGTCTGAACTGTCTTTTTATCGCCTTTTCATGAATTTAATAGAACTATTCGACGTGGCAATAGACTCTTTAACTACGTACGATACAGGCATACTATAAAGGTTTGAAGTATCAAACGTCCCACGCAAAAGAACACCAGCAGAACGTCAGCAGCAATATTCTACTTACACAGCTGATATTTTAACTTCCCTCTCTCGTTTGGATATAAACGACATTTCACCGTATTTCCTTGTCAATCTAGAATTGAAGTGAGAGTCTTGGTAACTATCCTTATATAGGGAAAGCGATCCTTTCACTGACAAAACTTGCGCGATCTGAAAACCTGAACGGATATTCGTTGCCGAATTCAACGTTTGTCGCATTCCTCTTCAACTCAATTTGTCGCTGACATTATATATTCAATGAAGATTTTATGAACAATAATTTCAGGGTGATGAGTGATGTGTTAAAGAAATAGGAAAGGTCACTGAACGACACTCTTCAAAAATTTCTTATTTTATGCTCCAGGACAACTTTCCGATCCTTATGGGTGATTCGTTTACAGCGAAGTTTTGAAATACGTTTAGTTAATATACTCTACCGTAATTTATCCTAGTGGGTCAGAAAAAATATATCGATGTAATTAAGTATATGCATATTTCCTGTGATCTTTTTGTCCCCTGGCCAGACAAATCCCTTTTTAATCGACTCATTTTATACAGTTTCCCATAAGAGACCTGCAGTGCAAAGAATCACATTACCTGTATGAAACTACGAATGTTGCTGTGACCTGAAAATCCTTTGTTTTGATCGGTTTATTGTACCAACACGACAAATCTGAGCGTTAGTTTGCATAACTATCTGGCACGTTAACATAATGTGATTTCCATCTGTCTCAATTCCGTCCGTACGTGATGTTACGGCAACCTTGATTACGGTACACCCCACTTGATTATAACATCGACCATGATCAATCATTCTGAAGTACTTTGGAAATTGGCTGATGAAGTAATTTAGCATTTGTTACATTCTCGAATTTCAGTCTATCAGAGCAATACAAAGTTTCCTTCTTATAAATTCAGCCGTCGTTTTCATCTTTTACATCTCGAAGTAGATAATTTAAGATGTAAAATAATTGTCACAGCCCAGTTGCTAGTTCAAGTACATACGATACTTATCATGACCGGACGCGACGTCAGAAGGAGAGGCGGCGAGGGGTGTGTTGAGGGATGTGTTGTGTTGGGGAGGGAGGGGAGATTAGGTTGACAGATCGACCGATTTATCCTAAAATGCGCGTGGATTGGACACTTCAGCGATGACTTGAACGGATTTACAGATTTTCGTTTGTCAACCCAGAAAATGACCTTTTAAATACTCGTTGGTCAATGTTACCAGACGGGCATCCATACGAGGGGGGTTGTTTGGCTCGCAGTGAAAGGGGCATCCTTATTTGCGCAACTTTACAACAAAAATAAACAAAAAACAAAAAAATAAACAAAAAAAAGACATACTTGAGCAAGTTTGCATACACCTAAAACTCGCGATGAAATAAGATAACCAAACGCAAGAAAATATGCTTATAAGGCTTAAGGCGCGCTGTGGTTTTGCAGCCGAAAGACAAGGAGAATATATTCATTTTCTCCCATCATTTGTACTAAGCCGGGAAAATATCTGCTAAATTACCGTCACTAGCTACTTATTCCCTAATTATGGTCAGACGTCTAGTGATCGACGTATTAGCGTCAGTTACTTTACAGGCTTACTTTAAGGTCATTAATCATCGCATGTTTTCATCGTATCGACCAACACGTCAATACAAGCTTGTCGTATCTGGATAATAAGCTAGTCAAGTTTAGTTCACCTTCAGTCTGTTGACATATGTTCTGTTTGTTTATTGCCGACAGGTGCGTAACCAAAAGCGACTGTTCATCGGGCAGACTGATTCTCAAGCGACAGGAAAGGTATACTGACGTAAATGGATGGATCATTTGTATTTGTCATGGTGGCTACATCAGATTAAGAAGGAAAAAAAAAAGCAAACAGCTGTCTGTTCGGAAATGTATAGTGTGGGTCAATCGGTTGCGCTCACTGAAGTCTGCCAGAATTAACAGCTTGCCAGTGACACAACATGAGGGAAAAAACGTGTCATTCAATTCCAGTTTCATAGGAAAAAGTTCTGTTCTCTGTACAATCTGGCAAAAACTCAATAAAGCTTCAAATTGTATCAACTTACCTCGCTTGAACGCGGTATGATCTTTTTGTCGGCATGATTGACTGATTATAACACTACATGCTGACAAAAGCGATGCCGGCCTGAAGAATCTGGCGGAAGATTAAAAAACAGATCGAAAGAAGGAATGGTTAGATTACTAGTATACTTGCAATGCTCGCATAGGTAATGTAAGTGGCTTTAGAAGAGCAAGATCTTAATCTTTTTTTTTTTCTTATCTTAATATAAATACCACAAGTGGAACGAGTTTATCTGACCTTAGGTCAAACTTAATAATGTGTTATATGTCAATCAACAAGAATATCAACAAACTATCCATCTTACTTGGGGGGACAATTCACATTAATCAAGAAATTTGTGCTCGGTAAGGGTTTCTTTTAGCCGATTTTATAAAGGTATTAGCCGTTGCTAAGGTAGTTTTATAAAAAATGATAAAACTGACTTTGTTTTCGAACTAAAACAGACTTGTTTAGGTCACTAATGCATGGTTGGACAGGCTTGTGACAAAAATAAAGAAAACATTTGAGGATCAAAAGAAATAAAATATTTGAAAAAAATTAATAAGTCTTGGACTTTTTCCTTAGACTTACTTACGCCAGCGATCTTAGTGTACAGCGTTATTATACATAGCGGTCACCAATCCATCACTGAATCAATACCGCCAATTTCATGTAGAATATTTAGAAACCAGGTACAATGAATCGTTACCCTAGCATGGATAACGAACAAAGAAATCACATTCTTTACAGACAGCTACATTAGCCAATATTCACCTGAACTCTTGTTTGTCACGCAATTGCACTTGTCCTCGATTAGAGAGGCATATATCTGACAGCATAACCGGGTCGATAACGCTGTGCTTCAAAATGTGGCCGTGGAAATCTTCAAATCGTCAACCGGGCTTCAAGGTGAGATTAGAAGTCATCGATTTTCTGAGGTTTGAAAGTACACTAGTTTATTCAGACCTTCAAGTTTGATAATTCGTCCCTTCTTCGTTCGATGTCGGGAGCGATCGGAAGCGGAGATTCACACTTGAGCTTACCACTATTCAATTTTGAAATTTTTTTCTCAATCTTCGTTCGTCAGAGTTTGCCAAGTCAAGTTTGAATGTAGTTTGCGAGTATGTTTTACAGTGAATTAACGTTTTATATGAACGTACGTGTACGTTAGTATTTTCCAATATTCAATACGTAGTTTGAAATTGGTTTAAAGAGCTGCTCGATCATTGTACAAATATATGAAAATTGAGAGTCAGTTACAGCTGTCACCCGTTTCCTTGCAGTCGCTGTTGTACCATTTATTTTTCTTGGACCGGACAATACTAGAACTCTTGTTTGTGTCTAGGAAAAGCTATAAACACTTCTTACACAACCAGCCAGATACTTGAGTTATCACCCGACCCAACTAAAATTAGGGTAGTTTATGTTTATTTTTGGTTCACAAAGTTTACCTGAAGTCTGTATTAGGTAACAACTTATGTACATCAAGATTTTTTAAAATAACCTTGAATAGAGTTTAAACTGATCAGAAGCGGTTCTTGTAGTAAGTTAGACAGATTTTGGTAACTTACTTCAGCTCTTTCATGAAAGAGGCTTAAAAACACTTGTCAAGATTTCGCTCGCTTTAAGAGATTTGAATACGTAAAGCAAATTTCCTCAACTGAAGATTGATATTTATTTAAGAAAAACGACTATATAAATATTTTCATACATGTCGGTAAAAAAAAATTGCTGCAACAACCGATTGCAATACTTAAGATTTTCTTTTCTTTCGATGATTATAAATTTTAGTAATTATATGCAGAAAGTGAGTCAGCAAACAGAACAAAATGAATGGCATTGAATAGTCACTAAAGCGTATGGAAATTAAAAAGCTTTGTCTGAATTCTTAAAACTGTATATATCTTTAACGACAATTCAGTCAGGGAGATTTTGAAGTGAGACTTTGTGAAAATGACAATCTATTGACAGAATTCAGCTGTTAATTTTTTTAATGTTATTTGCACCTTTGATTTCAGTTTCCCTTATCCTTAAATGTAATCTTCCAGCCTGCTTTAAAATGAAAAGAAAATGAAACAGGATATTTTCCATAACAAACTTTGTTGACAAACAAAAGTGCATAATCTAGAATTTTAAAGTTTTGAGTATGGACACACTAGAAATATAAACATTAGAAAATGCTGCTGTTATTCCAGATTAACATTACACTAACGGTATTTGAGAAACAAGATAATTTGCTTATATCAAGAAAATTACTTGTTGAGTCTCCACACATATGTTCATCATCATATGAGTATTTCTTTTTTTAATGATGTCAGCCTCCTTCTTCTACTGTAATCTTTGGAGACCACCATAACCTGTTTTTTTTCACTTTTAAGTTATATGAAAAAGTAGTGCTTTATACTAAATGAAAAAACGGAAATAATGAGATTCTAAGAGCTAGGAGTGTTAATTAACAAAATATCCTTATTCCAAGTAGACTATGAGCAGTCCTTCTTTTTCAGTGCAGTCCATAACCTAAGTGGCAGTAATCAGTAAAAAAAATTAATTTTAGCACACAGTAGGAAGTTCATGGAGGGACTTACATATCATGGGAGCTCCGTGAGTGATGTCCACCTGGAATTGTCACAACTACAGACTAAGCCCAAGAGTTTGATTTCTGCATTGCGCTCACAATAGAAAAATATAATGGGTTATTGGCCAGAAATCTGTTGACAACTGCCTTTGGATAGAGCATTAACTACAGGGTTTTTTGATTTGCAAAAATTTCTTGTGCATGTCCTTGTAATTTCACCATTTATTAGGATCATCATTAGACAAGAAGCAAACTCAACAAACTTGGCCTTCCAGCCATTCATTTATCTGAAAAAGAGAAAGACTGCATGAATGTTATCTCTGATGATAAATTATGTGCACACACAGCAAAAATTGTTCGCAATGGTTTTGTTTTGTTTGTGAGAGTCATCTTTACTGAAACATTTTACAGATTTCCTGTTTATTGTGCACCTGGAAATTTGAAATGATTTCATTTCCCAAGATCACCTAATATGTGTTTCAATGGCATTGAGATTGACTGGTAATTAAGTTAAGGAATCTCATTGGTTAGCCCTAATTTCAATTCAAATTTGATGCCAGAAAACCACTCATGCAAGGTCAAACTCTTGGGTTAAGTCTGTAATCCCTGCTTTTCGAGCACCTCATGGAGCCTCCCACATTGTAGTCTAAATGCCAAGTTACCAGCTCCTTGTATGGAACAATTTTAACAAAGACCCAGAACATGTCAAATTTATGAATGTCATGTCTGTAATTGAGAGGAGCCCACACATTTTGTTATACTCTTAGAACTTCAATTTAGGCTGTAAAGAGATTGTAGGTTATCCAAGTCAACATATTTTTTTTGGTTATGTGAAATTTAATCTACATGTGGTGTTTTTTTTTTTCAAATCAAACTGCATGACAAACCCAAAAGTCTTTGGCTTTGCTTGTCACTGATATCTCATGCAAACTTTTTATTTGTAATTATTTTCAGTATGCATCTGATAATTCCAAATATTACCCACACCCTCACCATGGAGTTCAAATTTCACATCGTATGGTGCAGCTCATGTTGGGATGCCTGTGCTTTGGTGTACTGTTGATTTTAGTCAATATCTATCAGTTGCATAGCATAACTACTGGGCAGACTGTGGGTGATCCTGAGTTTGGAAGCTCTAGAAGACCTATTGTTTGGATGAATGCCAGAAATGTAAGGATACTTGTTATTTTTAAATGAGTTAAACAGTTATTGGTTAAATTTATCAGCTAAATGTTTGAATTCTGTTCAAGTTATGCATAAGTTAACTACCATTAAATATGTTATTTTGTGATTTATTCATTTTTCACAAGGGTTTTGTACAGTTATCAAGGGCTTACTGTTGCAAAAATGTTGGGAATATCGATGGAGATGATAAGCATAAATATATGGTGAATAATATTAAAAAATAATTCTTTCATTGGATACTTGAATTACTTTTAACCACATGCACCTGGGTTTTGTATGACCACACGTTAACAGTGCATTAGATGTTTTCCATGTGTCATGTGACTGCTAACTGCAATGGGCCTATTGACATTTACATTTATTTACAAAATAAAAATTATTCATGTGCTTTATTTCAATAAGAAGCAAATATATTTTTTTTATTAAACAAGAATAAATTCATATCAGATATGTGGATAATTAGAAGTAACTTCTTTTATCTATCAGCTCAAGTCAGGTTACTTGAAACATGTGATGGCTGTGTTCAGCAGAATTGGTTATACCAGAACTGAGGCAAAAAGCCGCTTGTTTGACGTGATGTGGGCCCATGACTATCCATTTGGTGGAGAACTTAAAGATATGCTGCTAACCCTAGAGCCACATCAAAAGGTTTATTAATTTTATTTTAGAACATCCTTGCTTTGCAAAATGTTAATCTAATATAAGAAGTCTTTACAATAATTACTTGTTACTGTTTTATGACTCAACTGTTTGATGTTCATTAGGTGTATCTATAAAAATTAAAAAACAATGGAAATAAAACCTGGGGAAAAAATTTAACCAGAATTTATGCATATGCATTTTTTAATGGATAATTACCTGTATTGGAAAGGTGATTGTGTCATTTTGAGACAAACTTGTTTTGCTTTTGTTTTCAGATTAATCATTTTCCAGGTTCTGGATATATTACAAACAAAGTCAGCCTGGCAGTGAACCATTTTCCATTTATTCCTCCAGCATTTGTGATACCAAAGGATACAGACAAGTTTTTAGAGGAGGTATCAGTTCAAGTAGAATATGGCCAGTAAATGACATTGAACAGCCCACCAACAAACAAATAAACATAATTAAATATTAACAAATTATTTGAGCCAGCAGAAATCAGCATCAACGTTATAGTATGTGGTGTGATTAAAACATGGAGGTTTTTTAACTTGTGTCTTCTTACTTATTGTATTCAGGTTAAGAACCATCCTAAGAAACTTTGGGTGGAGAAGAGTAATAACCACAGAGGAATACACATCAAGTCTCCAAATGGTACAAATATTACACAAACTTACAGTTGTAATATTTTTCTTGAAGGCTCACACTTGGTCTGTTGGGTTCTGCCTCTTGTTATTCAACAAGTGGCTTGGAGTTATTATAAGCATATTTTCCATTAATTTTGTATACTTTTTTTTGTAGAAATTGACCTTCATAAGGGGTCTGATGAGAACTTTGTTCAGGAGTACATTGCCAATCCATATCTTATTGATAAACGCAAGTTTGACATTGGTGTTTACACTGTTTTAACTTCCATTGATCCTCTCAGAGTTTATGTCTATGACCAGGAGGTTCTTATCAGGTTATTTTATGAGTCACTCATTTAATACAGTTTTATGACGGTGCACATTTAATTAAGTTCCTTTTTCATGCACCTGATCATTAAATGTCATTATCTCAATATTTTTTAATGAAAACTTCTCCATCACTGTGTAACAATCTACATGTCCTGGACCCAATTAAAACTGAAGAAAAGTGGAGATCACTTAAAAAGTAAAAGTGCTGAGGGGTTCTACTAGACTATCATAAATGGCAAAGCAGAGGTCAATTCAAGGACAAAAGTCTTATTAATATCCATTTCTGAGCACATTGCTAATTTTTATTAGATAGTGTGCCCAAGCTGCTGTGCATTAATTTTTAAAGAGTGGTCTTGAGTAAGTTTTGTAGCATCCACTTTTTTTATTTTCTTATTTTCAACAACTCTTGTGCAGGTTTTGTGAGACAGACTATTACCCATTTGACTCAAATGATGAAGATAAATATGTTGTGGGAGATTCATACACTCAGCCTTGGGAGGTAATTGAGGGGTTGCCTGAGTTAGTTCTGTTATGCATCCTCCCCATGAAGAGTCATACAAAAGCCTAAGACAGGTAGATGGCCCTTCCAGTTTTATGCCTGGTTTATTCCACCACAATTCCCAAAAACTTCTAGTTAAACTGCTATAACCCTTTCCTGTTGTGAATGTACTGTTTATAAAGTGATATTTTGCTTTCTCAGCTTTGTCCCCTTTCACCTGTTGTCATCAACAATCTAAAGACCTTTTTCAGTCTTATGATTCCTATTTGATAAACACATTCAGATTTTTTCTTGTTGCTTCATTTTGAGTATGTTTGTTCAGAACTCTGATGGTTGTCTTACTTATTTCACATTCAGCTGCCTTCTCTGAGGGAGTGGTGGCATAAAGGAAAATACAGCCGCAAACTGCTTCTTAATGCACATCTTAAAAAACAAGGTATGGAGAAAATTTTTTAGATTGTTTGACACCAAAACATTTGATAAAAAAGGATTCAGAAATGCAGAAACATATTTCTGGCTGCTTAGTTTGGGAGATTGCTGATTGGGAGGTCTGTTTTATAACTCTCCCTTTCAGCTGCTGTATGTAAAGAAATAAAGTTCATGTACAATTGAATTAATTTGAACTAAAACATCAGTTGCCATTACTCAGGTCATCGGTTGCAATGCTTCTTACAGTGATCTGTATTTACTTTTTACAGGTCAAGATGTTGATAAGATATGGAGCGATATTTACAGGGCTATTGCAGAGGTAAGATTTCTGTTGTTGAGAAGCTATGATTGGCTGGAACACATTACTCCTCTATGATATGAACTTTTTTCTTCAAATTTTAGATCAAACATTATTTTAAAGAAGCAAAGGGTTAATTCACATTAGTGTAATTCACAGTAATATTATCCAACAGATTGACTTTAATGTTTGATGTTAAAATTTATGATGTATTTGATCTCAGGTTTACCTGAGAAAGGAAACAGATCTCATATCTGCAGGATCACACTTCAAATCCACAAGGTATTAGATGTATTGAGTGCACCCACGTTATATCGAGAACTGAAGCTTTCCAAACACCTTTTCCTCCATTCAACATAAAATGTTTTATCATGTTAATTTTTTACCACAAATTATAGGAACTTCTTTGAGATGGTCCGCTTTGATTTTATCCTGGATGCTGACTTAAAAGTTTGGCTTATGGAGGTACACGATGTTTATTGTTTGTTGCTTCAGCTGCTGGCCCCATCTGAGAGACATATAAATAACTCATCGCATCAAATCACTATTTTTTTGTTGTCTTTAAAGGTAAACATGTCTCCAAATTTGTCTTCAGCTGCGCACAATGATAACAAACTGATGTACGAACAGGTGAGGTCAAATACTGCTAATAGGATGTTTTCTTGTCAAGAGAATTAACGTACACTATCTCTGTTCCCTAGTCCACGCAAGTTGTAGAACGAAACTGAATGACTCACTGTTTTTATCTCCATTCTTGTCACCCGCAGGTTGTATTCAACCTTCTTGGCTTAGTGGGAGTGGCGTCAAAACTGGACCACAGTTTGAAGTACAGGTCGGGGAAACAATTTTTCACGCAATTCTTTCCAATGTAGCTCAGCAAATCTCTGTAACAACGCCTATTTATTTATTTTTTTCGTGTATGTGCATTAGCTCTCCATCAGAGAAAGACATGCTTGTTAGCGATCATGACATTCAAGTATTGTACGAAAGATGTGCAAGCAGTGAATGCTCCAAGTCATGTTACAATGAGGTGGGTGGCCTGTGGTATCTATGCTGTACATCGGGGTCATTGTTTGTTAATTTTCGTTGTGTTCTTTGCTGTCTCCATGTCTTTAGCATTGCCGCCTGTGTTTTCCCTGCCTGCGCGAAAATGAACGTGACTTTATCAAGGTTGCTTACTTAGAGCATACTCACAGAGGAGGCTTCCGCAGAGTATACCCTCCTGTAATGGTGAGCTTTCTTTTGTAGGTCCTTCTTATGTTCATTTTTTGCTATTTTTTGTGTCATGTTTCCATGTCTCATTAGTAATTGTCTGTATGTCGTTGTCAACAGACTCAAATCGGTGAAGTGAAGAAGGATGGGCCGACATTAAGCCTGAGTCCGTCTAATCAGCTGATGTTTCAGTGGTTTAAAGCCATGTGTCTACACGATATTTCATGGTGCGCATGACTAGTAGCATCCATTGATTATGATAAAATAGATAATTTAACGACTACTTCCATCATTTATTCCTAGCTTGACTTTGAAAGATGTATCTCAGTTATGGAATATTGCGATTGTTATAAAGTAAGTTATTGTATTGCACTTGGCGAGCCTTTTGTTTAGATTTGGTCTCTTTGGCTTTCTTCGAGAGACACCGAGTACAGTTCGTATCATGTAGAAAATTATTTTTTACTGTCTTCAGAGTGTCACCCTGACATTAAAATGCAGCAGAGACGTTGTTTGAGAGCAATCGCTCGACGGACACTGTATGCCAGAATTTCATTCTAAACATACGTGAAAAAATACAATGATAATGAACGAACTGAAAAGTAAACAAGTATTTGGAAAGGTGGTAATTATATTCAATATTTTAAACGCCAATATGAAATGAAACAGAAACTATATCAAAATACATAGTAATATTGAACCTTGAAAAGATGTCGAGATGTTAAGTTGTACATTATTCCTGTTCACAACTTCTTAGCTTGGACACTTCATACTGAGAATAATTCAGACTACATTCAGAGACAAGACAATGTTAGGAGATATTTATGTTATACTGTGTACTTCAATGTTTTAGTTTTCTAACTAGATAAAAATGCTATTGTGTCTCGTTTTTGTACGAGCACACACAATAAATAGCTGAATTGTATCTCATTTGTCTTTTGAAGTCATTGATTTTGGTGACTTCATTGTCTCTTCCAGTTAAGCAATACTCGCCGTAAGAATAGAAACCCAACATAGGAATGGTACTGAAACTTTCTCTGAATGCTGTTTGAGAGCTGGAATAGAAAGCTTGTCCTTTGTGAACAAACCGTGATGTGAACAAAAGTGAAAATTTGGGCGTAAAACCTTCGCCTCTAGCTTCTTCTGTCAGCTGATGAGCCGGTGTATAAAAGTCAGCGTCATTACCGTTGTTCAATAATCCAGCGTGTGCGCGAAATGGTTGGCCTGAAATGAATATTGCCACAACTCTTGCTCTCTTTACTAGACCATCTATAAACAAACGGTCATGCCCAACGCCACCGAAAACAACGACTTGTTCTCCATAAGTTTCACGGATTCCTGTGAAGTAAACAATAGCAGTTGAAAAACATTTTAGTGTTACTTACGGTTTGATTTGAAGACATCAAAGTTTACCCTTAGCAGCTTACATTGCAGTAACCATGATTAGTTAAATAAGCCAAGTACCTGAGGCTAGGAACGGTATGAAATCTCTACTTGCCGAGAGCGCTATCAGCACGACTAACTTGACTGGAGTGTGCGCGGGCAAATCAAACATATCGCACCAGTCACTAGCTGGCGGTGGCCTGGGTGTTCTGAGGTAAACATGGTGGTAGCAAACACCAGGCATATGAGGCGCACATATAAATGCGTGTCCTGCCTTAATATGATGGATGAGGTTGGGAGTGAACTCGTCAGTGGGCTGTTGGAATACAATACGTTCAGTGGTACAACCTATCGTGACACATCCCGGTGGAAGTTTGGCAAATAAATTAAAAACAGAGCGCACAAGCTGTCTCTCTTCGTTCCTTCGCCTTCGTGGCTCCCTTCGCGTGAACCAGATTTCCCTATGGCTCAACTGAATCACCATTCGTGGTTCCGTGAACATATTTTCAAAAACATCGTCGATTTCACTTCCTGTAATCAATTTGTCCGCCAAGTGATGCACGGTCCAAGTTGTTCGCGAATGTAAAATCCGCGTGGAAATGTTCCTCCACATTCTGCATACTCTTGCTGTTGTTCTTAGCTCCTTCGCAGGAAGGTATCTTAAGATCATGTCCACCATCTCGGGAACGTAGGGGAGAAATAATTGCGCACGATTGCTTGTCTCTGACATTTTGCTTTTCTGTATGCGCTCTACCACGTTTCATTGTGACGCTATTTCTTGTGAGGTCACGTTTGATATGCGCGTGGATTTTTCTTTGCACGACTAGAGCTAAGTATAGTGCTTGCTTTTATGTGTACACCATTTGTCTGAAAATGTTGTATTTTGTAAATTAACCTATCGAAACTGATAGAGCAAGCTTAGCGGTATGTCTGAAAACCAAACGTTTTCATCAGACGAAACTCATCTCATTATACAGGCATGCGGTAAAATAGTGCTCATTGTTCAACAGAATGCGAGCTGAACGCCGCTACCTATTGTCTTTAGTAGTGGGAATGAAATTTAAACTTACGTTGGCGTTCCACCACCCGTAGAACACCAACTTCTCTTTGAGCGTAAAGCGATAGTCATGCGTTTGTTCACTGAGAAATGCTGATCGATGTTGGAGCACATCTGCTGTGGGACGGTAAACTGAGGTAATTAGAATACTTTTGCTGATCGAAACATAAGCAGGTTGAAACCACAATAAGTGACAATTAGTCTTCTGTGACGTTCTACAGTCACAAGGTTAATCACATTGATTTCATCTCCTTTCTGGTATCGCACATGGACAAACACAAAGAAATCGAAGAAGATAATTCTCAGGAATTCAAATTATTTCGATCGAGACCTGTTACTGCTGGCGGGATAGAGAATGGAATTCGTTTTTTCACTGCTGCTGTGAACGCGCTTGATAGAATCGAAGGTTTGTTGTTTGAAATAGGACAAACAAAATTGTTAGTTCGTCAGATGATAGGAGAGTTCAGTTTAGCTGGAGGAAAGATACGACTAAATCCCGGGGAACAAGCGAATTATGTCTGCCTTGAAAAGAATGATATACAAGATAAGGAAGCAAAAAGGTACAAAACGCGAATTTTTATTGTTTTCTCTTAAATGCGCTCGTTCTTGAAGATGACAGAGGGCAATGTAACTTTATTTATGAGAGGCTGTGAATTTTTCCTTGCCTTTCTTTGATGAAGAAACTTTGCAATAATTGAAAACTGTAAGCGCTGTTGACTTGCCACTTTTGGTGGAAATCATGTTTTACGGTTTCCTTCAACGTTGTAGTTCTTCTTACGCCGGAATAATTTAGTATTGCGATCTTAAGTGGTGAATAACTCTGAGTGCATATAAACCTTATACTACAGACCGAGATTTTTTCTCTTTCCAGAGAGGTTCTCTATAGTCTGCCTCTTTCATTTTCCGTTCCAATTTCTCTTCGTCTTCCCTCCATGTTTATTCACAGCAGATGTCAAAAGCGTTTGAAGCAGAAACACAACAAAACCCTGCTGGAAATCTGTGAGGAATTGAAGAACAAGTAAGTGGCTTTAAAGAAAAAAGACTGTTTTAGTATTTATCAAAGAAAAATGGCACTTATCTATAACTATGGCTGGTGAGGCGTGCTATCCTGATTGATACAGTTTTACGCTGTCTTTATATTCACTTATTTTCCTTTACATTTTAAGGAGCCCGAGAAACATGGATAACAAGTAACCAATGCCAAAGGAGTGCTGCGTCGGCCAAGTTTTGAATGGAAATAATTCACGTTTCTCACCCTATTTCACTCATCGATTTATACTTACACTATATCTGCATTGTTGGTTCATATTAAATTGAATATGGCGTTGTCAATATTGTCTTATCGGGCATTCTATCATTTATGGTTCTTTAGTACATGCTAGTCATGGAGAAGTAAACAGTCTTCTCTGTCCCTTGCATTATGTACAGAACCAGTTGACCTTTGAGTTTCGACTAATGCTACAACAATAGCAAAAATATTTCATAGGAGATACCTTCTTTTGATTTTTTAGTGCCTCAGCGTCGAATTTTTTTATCTGAAATCGTAGCTGATTGGCAGTCTAGTCGGCTCTGAACTGCTAATATCACTGTAGTCTTCCGATAACTATCAGACGAAATTTTTTAACTCACTGAGAATTTGCATCTAATCTCTTGAAAAACTATTAATTGATCCAGGATGTTACTAAGAGCAGAAATGGGGAATGGGAAAATGAAATGGGAAATTGAATTTTCTTTGAAATTCTGTGTTGATTAAGCAGAAAAGAAAATTTTCAGCGGCGATTATCGATATTTATACTTTCTTCAAAAACGTTTAGAGGCTAAATTTACGGAACGGAAGAAGTTAATGATAACGAAAGAAGTGATACTCGCCACCTAATAAGAAAAATTTTATCGGTCTCATAAACGAGTGATGAGTTAAATTAAATTTTGCTGAGATTCATTAGGGGGCTATTTGAATGTTTACTTTAAAATTAGTAAATTGGAAGTTCCAAAGAGGTTAGCCGTTAAGTGCTTGACTTTTCAGAGTCCAACTCACTTCTCAACTACGAACAACAAACAACCCACAGTTGAATATCCATAAGCAGAGTCTTCATTTCATTTTTCGAAAGTAACAAAGGACTGCCTAGTAGAGAAATTTCTATCAGATAAAGTACTCGCCTCACTTTTAAAGCAGCGTAACTGAAAAATCAGATCAAAGAATAATGTCACCTTCACGACCATAAGGCGCGCCAAGCAGATAATGAATCTATCAGGTTTCAAGTGGTAATTTGCAGGAATATCGGTGGCGAGTGTGCAGCAAATTCCTGAACTTCTAAAGGTTTCCCGCAACTCGTCCTTGAAGTGTTAACGAACGAGCATGTTATTTCCACGCCAAATGGAGGCTATTTTAATAACATCTCCTTCCAACATTTTTGTAAATTACGGGAAAGAAATTTTTGCGAACACATAACCTTTTACTGCATGGGATATTCACTTTGCGATATTATCTTGTACGATTTTATGAACAAACAAACATGTCCGCTCTTTTTTAACAAAAACAAAACGCTGTCTCACCATAAACTAATTTTAGAACAAAGACTTATCGTTCTGGACGAAGAGCTCAAAAATTAGGGATTATCACTTGGGGTATATCCTCGATTATGATCCATCAAATAATTTTGCTCGCGCGCGACTGGTTTAAACGCCTCACGTTAACAAATATTTCCTGGCTAAAACTGGGGGATATCCAAGGATAAAACCCAGGTGATATTCCCCAATTTCTAGACCTTACTTCCACCACGATAAGTCTTCGTCTAAATTTAATTCAAGATAAGAAAGCGTACTATGGTTGTCACAGAAGAAGAGAAATATTTGTTCGTTCATTAAGTCTCACCAGAGAACACTCATAAGAAAACATCCCATGTAAACGTTTTTTCACGCACGTTGTAAAATATTTGAAGGATAAGAAACACAATAGCTTTTATTTTGCACGAAAAAAAGCTTGTATATTTGTCCTTGGACAATTATACGAAGCTCATTCCTTTTCTTATCATCAATTCATATCGTTCCTTTAATTTTGCCCCTGGACGTTTTTGAAAGAGAACGTGGATATCAATGAAAAATATCTGTTCCTTTATAAACAGTAAACCTAAACCAAAAAAATTGAAAATTAATTCCCATTTTCCCATTTCTCATTCCCCATTCCTCATTCGCCATTCCCCATTCCTCATTCTCCGTTCCATTCTCCATTCCCCATTCCCCATTCTCCATTCCCCATTCTCCATTCCCCATTCTCCATTCCCCATTCTCCATTCCCCATTCTCCATTCCCCATTCTCCATTCCCCATTCTCCATTCCCATTCCCCATTCCCCATTCCCCCTTCCCCATTCCCCATTCTCCATTCCCCATTCTCCATTCCCCATTCTCCATTCCCCATTCTCCATTCCCCATTCTCCATTCCCCATTCTCCATTCCCCATTCTCCATTCCCCATTCTCCATTCCCCATTCTCCATTCCCCATTCTCCATTCCCCATTCCCATTCCCCATTCTCCCTTCCCCATTCTCCCTTCCCCATTCTCCATTCCCCATTCTCCATTCTCCATTCTCCATTCTCCATTCCCCATTCTCCATTCCCCATTCTCAATTCCCCATTCTCCATCCCCCATTCCCCATTCTCCAATCCCCTCCATTCTCCATTCTCCATTCTCCATTCCCCATTCCCCATTCTCCATTCTCCATTCCCCATTCTCCATTCCCCATTCTCCATTCCCCCTTCCCCATTCTCCATTCCCCATTCCCCATTCTCCATTCCTCATTCGCCATTCCCCATTCTCCATTCCCCATTCCCCATTCCCCATTCCCATTCCCCATTCTCCATTCCCCATTCTCCATTCCCCATTCTCCATTCCCCATTCTCCATTCCCCATTCTCCATTCCCATTCTCCATTCTCCATTCTCCATTCTCCATTTCCATTCTCCATTCTCCATTCCCATTCTCCATTCCCCATTCTCCATTCCCCATTCTCCATTCCCCATTCTCCATTCCCCATTCTCCATTCCCCATTCTCCATTCCCCATTCTCCATTCTCCATTCTCCATTCCCCATTCTCCATTCCCATTCTCCATTCCCCATTCTCCATTCCCCATTCTCCATTCCCCATTCTCCATTCCCCATTCCCCATTCTCCATTCCCCATTCTCCATTCCCCATTCCCCATTCTCCATTCCCCATTCTCCCTTCCCCATTCTCCATTCCCCATTCTCCATTCCCCATTCTCCATTCCCCATTCTCCATTCTCCATTCCCCATTCTCCATTCTCCATTCTCCATTCTCCATTCTCCATTCTCCATTCCCCATTCTCCATTCTCCATTCCCCATTCTCCATTCTCCATTCTCCATTCTCCATTCTCCCTTCCCCATTCTCCATCCCCCATTCTCCATTCCCCATTCTCCATTCCTCATTCTCCATCCCTCATTCTCCATTCCCCATTCTCCCTTCCCCATTCTCCCTTCCCCATTCTCCATCCCCCATTCTCCCTTCCCCATTCTCCATTCCCCATTCTCCATTCCCCATTCTCCATTCCCCATTCTCCATTCCCCATTCTCCCTTCCCCATTCTCCATTCCCCATTCTCCATTCCCCATTCTCCATTCTCCATTCCCATTCTTCCCCATTCTCCATTCCCCATTCTCCATTCCCCATTCCCCATTCCCCATTCCCCATTCCCCATTCTCCATTCCTCATTCTCCATTCCCCGTTCTCCATTCCCATTTTTAGCAGCATCCTTACATAGATTGGTAAGTAAAGGTGCCAAACATTCTTACCCAATAGTCGCGTGATCGATGAACACGTGCCACTAGTTCATCACAAGCCGTCTCCATTGCAATACCAAGTAGGTGATTTCTTTAATTTCACATGTTTTAGTGTCCAACTTAACTTCAAGGAAACTCAAACTAATCAGTGCAATGTTGAGAGTTTTGAATACGCTGCTTTCGTTCCAAAACGCTTTAAGTTTTTGTAAGTTTTGGTAAACATGGATAGCCTTTAAAGTTGTGTATACGGCATGCTGCTGTCATGACGGCGGATTTCGAGAGGATGGGCCTCTTCACTTAAATGATAGGTGAGTTCTTTTCAACCTCATCATCAGGGCGAGGGTAAGCGCGTGGGCCCTGGACGCAAGGTTCAGAACCATGTATATTTTGTTTTTAAAGAGTACTATCCACACTTGTTTTATCGTGTTGCTTCACAGATTTATCGTTACTCTGTCTATATTCTAACTTTTTTTATTAACTGCAAGAGTCAACGTCACATAGCGTTCACAGCAACTAATCCCAAACTGTCTCAGACCAATTACAGTAAGCATCTACAGGCGCACACGAAACATTGGTCATTAATTATTCTATTGATTTTACACACCGGTCAGTCATAAGCAACAGCTTTAACGCGTATGAAGCAGGTGAAAAATGCTATGACTGAGGAGTGCAACACGGTGCTGAGGAAATTTGTGCTATCATTTTTCTGCGTTTCTGAACTGACAAATGGGTTTTCATTTTCATATGCGAATGTATTTTTACGCTATAGTTTTCCGTAGTTCATTGCATGACCTCTGGGTGTTCACATTCTCTGTTTAAGAAAAGACGTTCTGCCGAATTCTCAAAGGACTTGATTCCATTTGATTGACACCAAGAGACAAATACCTTAGACGCCATAAACAATGTCTTCCTTGGAACGTTTATCCCTTGACGTCAGTTCTGTCGTAAAGTAAGCCGAGCGAAACGTAATTAAAAATAGCGGTATATTTCGTAAATGAATCAAGCGGTAATTCATTTTTCTTGAACAATGCATCATATTGAAGAGTCCAATTTACCGGTGAGTAACAAGGTAACTTTTTAGACTACTGAAGTTTGGAGTTTTGCTGTAATTTGTGAGCGATTTATGATAGATTCCGTTGTATCTATTTCTGAGTTGAGCTTGTTTGTAAAGACTGTAGTCATTAGCCATGATTCGTGAATGTTAAGTAGAACTGACCTAAAGTTATAGAA